TACATTTGAGAAGATTATGAGATTGCTCATTTTCTTTATTCGATAGAATTATAATGTATTACACAATAACCTACCAATCGGACAATTTAAGGATAGTTGTAAATCTTCACATGTAATTTTTAACGTTAGGTGATGTAACTATTATCAAGGTCCATCTTAGATCCTTAAATGATTGCGGTGAAGATTTGGAATTTGATTGGCAGAATTTGTCCATATAAGACGTCTAATTCCACTTTTCTTGAAATTCCCGGCTTTTAAAGTCTTGTCAATTATTCTTGAATTCTTGATTTTATAAGTCCTCTTCAAACGTTTCCATAATGTCAACTCCTGATTCCAGTTCCAGGATAAGATATCATAAGCGTACCCCTACCGGCCTAACGAAGAGTGAACAAGCAAGTTGGGATCCAAAAATTTTATCTTTATGGGAAAAGTGTGGTGTCGATGATAGCGGTGGTTGGTATTTGATCTAAAGAAATAAACTTGTATTGCTTTAGTCTTTGTGTCGTGTCCTTATAAATTGTAATTTATTTTACATTATCGCAGACAAAGAAAGCTTTCAAAAAACTTTCGTTCGTCACGTGACCACAACGCTCGCCAGATCCGTCTATAATATCGATAATTTTAGTGCATATCAAGCTACCGCTCACACGTAAGCCATTTAAATAAAGAAATAATATAATCCTTTAAGTCGTCCTTATTAGGGATCTTGTTAATCAATTAATGTTTAATATATAATATGCTTAATACGTATATAGTGTTCGTGATCGATTAATTAAACGATGGAATGATACCCAGCAGGTCTGTTTTGGGTTTTTCTTTAGCCTAAATTTGCATATAACTAATGAAAGGGCTTGTTATGTGTTTTTAGAATCACACCGAAGCTGACCCAAAGCGCGTTTATTATCTGTCTTTGGAATTCTTATTGGGTAGATCATTGGATAATGCCCTTCTTAATTTGGGGTTAAAGGAAAATTTTGGGGGTATTTACTAATTTCAACCCATTATTTTATACCGTTTTTTTTTTTTTTTTTTTTATTAATATACGCATTACCTTCAAATTTTGTACATGACTTACTTTTCCTTCGTAGAGGGTGTCAAGGATTTGGGTTTCAGAATGGAGGATGTACTTGATGAAGAAGTTGATGCTGCTCTTGGTAACGGAGGTCTCGGTCGTCTTGCCGCTTGTTATATGGATTCTTTAGCTACATTAGATTATCCAGCTTGGGGATACGGCCTTAGATATACTTATGGTATCTTTGAACAAAGGTATTGGACTTTTATTTCTCACTACGAAATCATTACATTCATTTATTCTAAATTTACGTCTAACTGTCAGATTAAAGGATGGTTATCAAGTAGAACACCCTGATTATTGGCTAAATTTCGATAATCCTTGGGAGCTACCACGCCTTGATGTCGTTGTTGATATTCAATTTGGTGGATCAGTCAGTAAATATACTGATAAAAAGGGTCGAAAACGATATCATTGGGAAAGCAATGACGTTGTAAAAGCTGTTGCTTATGACGTTCCCATTCCTGGTCAGTTTTCTATTTATTTTTTTACAATTTTATATCGCAATTCCTGCCTCTTATTATATAATTTATTACAATATCATATAGGATATGGTACCAAAAACTGCATTAATATTCGCCTATGGAGTAGTAAACCAAAACGTCGGTTTGATCTTGGCCGATTTAACGAAGGTCAATATGAACAGGCTGTTCAAGAGCAAATGCAGGCAGAAAATATCACTGCTGTTTTATACCCAAATGACAATCATATGGTCGGTAAAGAATTGCGTCTCAGACAACAATACTTTTGGGTCGCTGCTAGTCTACACGATATGTAAGTATTCGATAATTATTTTTATTATATGAAACTTCATCGTGTTATATTAATGTGACATCATTTTAAACGTAAAAGTGTTCGTCGATTCAAAAAATCCGAAAAACCATGGAGCGATTTTCCCAATCAGGTAATATTAAAAGCATAAGAATCACATATTTATTTATAACTTTATAATATATTTTTTGTTTATTTATTTCTATACTTTTATTTCTAATTAATTATTTTATTTAATTTCATTTCTGATATAATATTTACTTATTTGTTTAGGTTGCTATCCAATTGAATGGTATGCTAAAATTAATATTTGTTTCATTTAGTTAAGCGTCCCTCGAGCATAACCATTATTTTATATATATTTTATAGATACACATCCAACTCTTGCTATTGTCGAATTACAAAGGATTTTAGTTGATCTCGAGGTAAATTTATCACCCTCATTTTATTTAGGTATGATTTAAAACCTAATCTCTTTAAAAACCTATAGGACGTTAGCTGGGATGACGCTTGGGACATCGTTACCCGTACGTTTGCGTTCACAAATCACACTGTCCTTCCTGAAGCCATGGAAAAGTGGCCTGTACCAATGGTCTCTTATTTATTACCAAGACATATGCAAATTATTTTCGATGTCAATTTGGTGTGTTGAGTTTTATATCTTTCCTGTGTGTGAAGATCATCACTTCAATAAACTTACACTGTATGATTATAATACTTGTTTTATAGTTCTTCTTGCAAAAGGTTGAAAAACTTTATCCTGATGATAGGGATCTTCTAGCCAAATTATCTATAATCGAAGAAGCGACGCCACAATTCGTAAGGTTGGTATTTAGTCCATTTGAAATTGGTTGTTTAATAAATTATGAATTAATTGTATGATTAAAATATAAAACTATTTTTAGGGTCTTTTTGGATGTGACTTTGAATTTG